CCCCCCCCCCCCCCCCCGCCCCCCGCCCCCGCATCTCAGGCAATTTCATCAAGTGGCCATTCTGTTTTTCTTTCGTATGCCCAACTGCTGCTTCCTGTGCCCTCCATCTCAGGTATCACCACGTTCCAGCTGGACATCAAGTGCGCCGGCCTCACCACGGCGCTGCTCGGGCGCGCCCTGACCCAGGCCAAGGCCGGGCGTCTTCACATCCTGGGGGAGATGCAGAAGGCCCAGCCAGACGGCCCGAGAAAGGAGATTTCCCCCTTCGTGCCGACCGCGACCATCATGAGCGTGGACCCTGACCAGATCGGAAAGGTAAAGTATGGACGTCATTGGCCCGGCGTTGCTGGTTTTCAGCTGCGGATTTTGTGTTTGTCAACGATCTCTTCGGGTTGGTCTTATGACTGTGCGATTTTCTACGGTTGGAGAGCTGTTGTTTTTGCGTTTCTCAACGGAATGTTCGGGCTGGTATGTGATCGTGGGCCGTTCTCGCCGTGTTTGCGCCTGTCGCTTCTCATCACGAGCAGTTACTTCCTTTGTGTGTCTGTCTCTCTTCCTCTTTCTCTCTATCTATCTCTATCGCTGACAGAGGTCAGGAAGTCACTTTTGCGACTCGGACGGGTGGCGTTCCGGACAGTTCCCTGTGTCTCTTAAGTCCTCTACGTGAAATTCTACAGCAGTAGGCAGGCATGCGCTCATTAATTTCTACCTGATTGCTAGATATATCTGACGTTGACTTTTTTTGCTTGGGGTGTGGTCCTTAAGAGGACCGCCCGCCTCCTCCCGAACGGTGCCTTACATCAAGCGTCAAACATCGTACTAAATACAAAATTCGAGGATTGGACAGGGATGTATTTTCATGTACTATTGCTGCTCGCGTCGCACGGCCGATTTTTTTTTTTTTTTGTTGGCACTCGAGGAATCGTCGCACCTGAGCGACGTCAGCGTTCGCGCAAGGGTATTTACGAGCGCTGTCAAGTCCAGTCTGTTCATGAAACGTAGGATTCACAGTCAACTTCCGTGCCATATTTCGAGCACGCCGGTCTGTCGACCGTTTCCTGTTCCGTGCTTCCCCTTGCTTTTGCTGTGTGTGTGTCTACTGTGTTGTGACGAACCTTGTGAAAACGTTTTTTTTTAATGTATTTCCCTTTCCATCTTCTTTCCGTTGGTCGACCCTCCCCTCCGTTCTCAAGATCATCGGCCCGGGAGGTAAGATTATCCGCCAGATCATCGAAGACTTTTCGCTCGACGGCATGGATGTCGAGGAGGACGGCCGAGTCATGATCTCCGCCTTCAACAGCACCAGCGCTGCAAGGTGAGGGATTTGTCTTTTTTTTTCGGTGGAATTGTTCTTGCTGTAACTTTTTGTTCCTACGCATGTTGGATTTTTGTCGCAAGCGCAGTCCTTCCTTTGCATAGTCGATCGAACTTCTTCAGTAGGTAAGGTTCCTTTTTTGTTTCAGCAAACGGTAGCCTTCAACAGCAAGCGCTACAGCAGTAACGTCGTCGCGAGGTTGTCGCTGTTCTGGTTGTTGTCGTCAAGTGACGAAACGTTCCGATCTGTGCTCGGTGTCTTCCGGAGTCCAACTGACGCAGACGCCGTCGGTGATCACAAACTAAAGGCTAGCAGCGTGAACTTTGGTGCCCAGAGCTGCGGAACGGGCTTGAAGCAGCAGCTCTTTCACTTTTGACGGCACCCATTTGCCAGGTTTAGAGCGAAACCGGGCCAAACCAAGTGATTGCGCGTGTAGAACACATGCTTGAGGTATCCTGCAGGTTTCATGGCACGTAGCCATCTGTGTGAGGAGTACCAGCGGTGACAAGGCGTGCACCAGGTGCTGTCACAGGGCACCCCATGATGGGGGCTTAAGCCGGGTACCATCGATTTTCGCGGAGCCCCTTTGTCATACTTGTTTTGCTTTCTGTGGGACCTGCAACACGGTGTTGACGCTTTTGTACTATTTTTTTTTCTGGGTCCTTCTATGGGCTTTTCGATGCAGCTGCCTTCTGTTTGATATTGCTATTATATCGTTGATACTGCTGTTTTTTCTTATGCAAAGGAGTCGACAAACTCGCTCGAGACTGGATTACATCGACACAGGTAGCATTGAGGGGTTGACACAATTTGGATCGCCACTACAAGAGTCGTTCCAGTGGAGCACTCTAGCCCACTCTATCGCCTATTGTATCGACCAAACACGACCCACATGTCTACCTCCAATTTTGATTGGATTCTCCCCCAAGTTCCCCCGAAATTTGACCTTCAACGCTCTACCCGCGGTAACAAAAACGGCCCCGTCCAATTTTCTTATGGCACCACGCCGTAGAGACATGCCTAGGGTTACTTTAGAAGGTTAGCAACATTTTAGATCGCCACTACATCCGGAGTTGTTGACGAATAACGGCCTGTCCCCATAGGAATCTGGCCGCTGTAGGGGTTCCGCGTGATCGATGCATCGTCGTAATTAAAAAAACAGAATCTGTTTCTTTGTGGGGACATGCAACACGGGTGTAGTCGACAGAAAGTGCTTGGCACAGGAGGAGGAACCGGAACTTGATTTATGAAGGGAGAACACCAGAACCTACTCCATAAATTATCCTCCAAAACATGTCGCCACATTAGACATTGGACGCCCAACGTCGCCTCATCATTTTGTTCATCTCTCTCTCTCCCCCCCTCTCTCTCTCTCTCTCTCTCTCATTCGCTCGCAGCGCCGTCAAATACATCGAAGAAATGCTCAAGGACGTAACGTTACGTGGGGGGGGTAGGGGAGGCGGCGGCGGCGGCGGCGGTCGGTCTTCGCGCGGGGTACCTGCCGACTTCAACGCGACCGCGATCATCGGCACCACCTACAGGTGAGATCTACATTTTTTTAGTTCTGGTCCAGGTAAAAACAACAGCGGCGACGGAGCTTCCGAGGATGCCAGCTGGATGTTTTTTTATTTTTTGCAGACCCAGAAAAGCGACTCGCGATTTTTTTTTTTGTAGTATTTTCTTCCCTCTCAAAGCCGAACTCTTCTCGGAAGGCATTTGCTACCAAGTATCCGGGAGACAGTTTTCGTTCTGTCTACAGACGGAATTGTTCATGAGAGTCTTTTCAATGCAGTTGTTTTGGATTAATCGCACCGGCCTTTCGTTTGGAACACGAAAACAAGCAGTTCATTCACCCTTCGTGTGTGTTTTGATAAGTCCTCACAAAGCCGTAAAAGTCAAAATATATGCACATGGTTATGATTACCGTGCTGTTCACCCGCACGAGCTGAAGATTGAAAATTTCTCTCGGCCGAAAAGGAAAATGCGAAACAAAAAAAGACGCTACGGGAGATTCGAACTCCCGACCTCTACCACCCTAAGGTAGAATCATAGCCAACTAGACCAGCAGCGCCTGCCGCTTTCCCCGCGACGATGTGGACGTCCAAAATTATTCTCTTTCTCACCTTATACTTTCTCTTGAATTCCCGTACCCCGTTTCTCTGTATGTACCCGCACAGGAAAATCGAAAATTTACCGTATTTTTTCCGTACTTTATATATTGCCATACTCCTTTCTCCGCACCGCGCTCACACGCAAAAGTTGCACAAATCTCATTTGCATATTTATTTTACGGGACTGCTCTCGAGGCTCCACGCGCAAAAGCACCCACGGCGTGAGTCCCCAGGTCGAGTATCTTGCTTCGTCGCCCTGGCCGTCGCAACGACTCGGGCACCACGAGGTATCTATCTTCCATCAGTGATGACGCCTTATCTTATGTTTTGCCCCCCTCCCTCCCGCCGATGCCCCCCCCCCAAGGGATTGCGAGGTGGTATCCATCCAGCCGTTCGGCGCGTTCGTGGAGTTCGCGCCCGGGCTGGAGGGCCTCGTGCACGTGAGCGAGCTGGACGTGAACCGCGTGGTGACGGCGGAGGGGTTCTTGGCGGACAAGCCGGCGGTAAGAGGATACGTGTGCGGCGTCCCCTGTTGCCTGTCTGTCGCTTCCTCCCTTGTGGCTGCATGCAACACACGCCGCCCGCCCGCCCGCGTGGCGTGCGTGTCTTCCTCTCTCTCTCTGGCGGTGCAAAGCTTATTGTTTGTTCGTTTCTTGATGGGGGGCTACCGAAGCCACCCGTCCCTCCCCATGGTGCCTGCCGTTCACTTCTTCGTTTTTCCGGCTCGTTGTATTCGTCCGCTTAAGAGTGTCGTCTCGCACCTCTCATGCGTACTTGTTCATCCTACCCTCTCCATATGAAAATGACAATGACATGACCAGCTCCTTTTTCATCCTTTTGAAACGTAGCCTTGGCCCAGCGTATCGCTCCGTTCCGCCATACGAGGCCAACGGTCTAACGACTATTTACGTTAACATGAGCACACACCCCTCCTTGAACGTCTGCATCCATCCCCCCAACACGCAGATCGACGTGAAGGTGATCGGGCTCAACGACAAGGGCAAGGTGCGCCTTAGCCGCAAGGCCGTCCTGATGGACGAGCGGGGAGGGAAGGCGGGAGGGGCCGCCGTTCCGAGCCCCCCGCGAAAGCGGCCGAACGGGGCCCTGGCTAGCGGGGGGGCGCTCGGAGTGGTGAAGCGCGCCGCTCCTGCGGCGGCGACACCAAAGACGGTGGGGGCGGCGAAGGAGGGGGTTGCGCTTTCGGCGGCAGTAGAAGGACCAGCCGGAGGCGGCGGGGAGGGAGAAGCGCCGAAGAAGGGCGGATAAGACTCCCGAGGGCGAACGATTTTGAAAAAAAAAGTGGAAATTGAACGTGGTAGTGGGTGGGTGACGTCGGAGCCACGTCTTTTTTTTTTTTTTGTCTTTTCGTCGTTTAGTGGCTAGGGAGGAGAACGCCTGAAGAGATTTAGGTGTTGTAGTGGGTCGCTCGTGAGGCTGTGGGACAGAGAGCGGGGTTTGGTCGTTCTAGAAGTTTGTTTGTTGTGTGCGCGTTGCGTGTTCGCGGAGTGGTAAGACTCCAATTCTCTACAATGTGAAGCGGTTGACTTCTTCGTGCTTCGAAATAAGGTACGTGATTTTCGCGGCTCGAGGGTTAATAGAAAGTTCTGAGCGGGCTCAGCATGCACCGTTTTGAGTGTTCCGCAGTAGGAGACAACGCCCCTTTTTGCGATATCCCTAGGCTGAATTTCCTTCACCCATCCCAAGAAGCCTGAAAGGCTGTCGTAGACGACGGAGTTCGTGTTACGTTCGAGGTGACGAGTGGGTCTCGCGTATGCACCGAGCGATTTTTTTTGTGCTCTCTCGCCTTTGGGATACTTGTGCTGAGGGCGTGCACCAGCAGTCTCTATTGAAAAGTGACCGACGTTTTCAGGGACCAGGACGGCCGAGTTTCGTGCCCTCGGAGACAGTCACTCGGTATTTCTTCCCTGTATACGTTTGTTTGCGCGTACCTGCAAGAAGCGTCTGTCCCTCAGCTTAGCGCTTGTTCCCCTATCTCTGGCTTATCAGTTCCCGTAGCCCCCCGCAACCCACTCGTGCTTGCGTTTTCCATTTTATGGTGGCCATAAACTGGCTCTATCCACCAAAACGTGAAAATGAACTCTTCCGAACTTTATTTATTTCCGGGGTAGTTACTCTCTGCGCGACTGTCGCGTGACGACACGAAGGACGTCAACGCAGGGGTAGTGACCCTGGGGGGAGTCTCCAGGTTTTTCGTAGAGGAGGCCTCATTTCATCCCAAACTTTGCATCGTCGGCATTTTTTAAAAAGTGTTTTTTTTCGGCACGGCTAAACACCCCACCGGTGGGGTAATTTCTTAACCACCCCACCGGTGGGGCGGTCAACGCTTAAACACCCCACCACCTGTAGCTCGCTCCACAAGACTCCAATCAGCACAGGACTTCAGCGAACGTGTTGCGGCGTTGCAGGGCTATGATTGGACCCATCGTGAGGCCGAAACGGCACAGTTTTGGTGGTGCCACGGTTGGTGGGGAACACGCGCCGCAACCTAACTGGTGGGGTAGATAACGTTATGAACCCCACCAGTTGGATCTCCCTCTACAAGGCTCCGATCAACACACAAGTACCTGCAGGAGTTTGTGGTCGATGCATGCACAGCGCACGGTATCAGGCAGCACCTGGGGCGGTGAACAGGTCGGGAAATCCCGCGGCATAGCGCCAAACACCTGCCGTGGGTAGCGAACACTGCCTTCTATTTTCTTGCAGAAGGCTTCGTTCAACACCACCAGGGACCCACTGCTGGATCTGCCCCCACAACACTCCAATTGACACAAGACATGTACGAATGTATTGCTGCGTTGCGGGGCTATCCTGGGACGCATGGTGAGGCCGAACGATAAAAGTTTGGTTTGGTGGTGCCACGGCCGGTGGGGTGAAAAACGCCTAACACCGGTGGGTGTGGTGGATAAGCTAACCCACCCCACCAGCTGTATCTCGCCGTACAAGACTCCAATCGAAGCACAAGCGCCATGGTTAGAGCATGCTGGTCATAAACACACAGCGTACAGCATGCCGTACACATCTCGCAGCACACACGCCGCAGCAGCAGCAGGCGCGGTGTGGAACAAGCCAACAAATCCCTTCGCACAGCCCCACACAAGTCATGCGGAAAACTTGCCTTCCCCATTCTCCAGTCTACAAGTAGAACATCCACTGCCGTGATGTGCGCGAGAGATGCATCCCATGCGCATGAACTTCAAAGAGGAAAATACATGTTCATACATTCCGTATATTGTCGTGCGGTTCCGTGCATGTTCCATGTCCTCCGCATTTGGATGTACCTTGTACGTTTGTCGGCGTCTGTTTGAGTATGTATGACGACGTGATCAATTCTTGATTTACTGAAGCCACTACTACAAGTAATACTGCTATACGTCCATCAATAGACTAATGCTTAATCAGCCCCCCCCCCCCCCCTATGAGGTGTGTCTTCGCTCCTGTGCTGCAGTGGTGGGGAGCTGTTGTATGTTGTGTGTTGTGCGTGCATCAACTTTACACTTCTACTGTACGGTTCTTGTCTGGCCATGGGAGCCTAGTGGCAGTGGTTCGAGTTTCACGGTGATGGGGAAATTCGACACAAGACCTGTAGCAGGATAGGGGCACCGGGTAAATGTTTGCAAACGGGTCCCCCGGGCTAACGGGCACTCGCCCTGCCACAACGGACACCCTCCCCCCGACTATCGGGCACCATTCCCGACTAACGGACGCTCCCGACAGATCGGCACTCCCCCCAACTAACGGGTGCTCCCCCCCGCCATAACAGGCCCACCCGTGGTGGTTCGGGGCACCCCCCCTCGACCAACGGCACTCCCCGTCCACAACGGGCACCCCCAGGCACTCCCCAGTGCTTACGCGCACCTCTTGGCCCGTGTTTGGACGATGTAGTGCTCCAGGGAAAGATATGCAGGATGCACTGTATTTCCCGGACAAATACACTGTATTCCCTGATTACATATCTCGCCAGATTCACTGTATTATCTCATCAGGTACACCGTATTTCCTCATTCTTTCACTGTATCCTCTCATCCATTTCGCTGCATTCCCTGATCCAATTCACTACTGTGTTCCCTGTCCATATTCACTGCATTGTATTCCCTCTCATTTTCACTGTATTCCGTAATCAGATTCACTATGTTCCCTCATCAGATACGCCGTATTCCCTGGTCAGGTTCATTGTTTCCCCTTTCTCGGACACATAAACTGGATTTGCTGGTCGTGTAAGCTGTATTCGCTGATGATATTCACTCTATTCCCTGACCAGATTCACCGCGTTCCCTCATGAAGTTCACTGTATTCCCTCATCAGATACGCTGTATTCCTCTTTCGGGTTCACTGTTTTCCCTATGTCGGATACATGCGCTGTATTTGCTGATCACATGGTGCTGTTTCTGCCATTGTTTTCGGACTGCCAGTACAGCCATTCCAATAGATGCCCCATCAATCCCTCGCCGCCTCTTTCTCACTCACCACGTCACCGGTCTCGGTGACCTTAAGCGCCGTGTCTTCCCCCCAGTACGGTAGCGGTCCGTCGCTGTCGACGGCGACCCCAGCGTTCGTCTTCATTCGCTTACGGCCCCACGGCATTCGCCTACGGCTGGCTCTGCCGCAAGTGTTTCCGGTGTTGTTGATATCTGGGTCGGTTAGTCCATTGTCAGCTGCGTCGCCTGTCTCCTTCTTCGACGATGTTCCGCCGGTGACTCCTCCTGATAATCGGACGTTAGAAAGGGAGTGACGTCATTGCCTTGAACGAGCTTGTCAATGTGCTGTACTCCCTGAGCAGATACACTGGGGGTGCCTCGAACACGTTATTGTCGGGGGGAGTGCCCGTAAATCGGGGGAAGTGCCCTTTTGTCAGGGGTGGTGACCGTTAGTCGGGCGGCAGTGCCCGTTATGAGGCGTTGTGGGGGGGGAGTGCCCGTTAGCCCGGGGAGGTGCCTGTTGGAGCATATTTACCCGTATCCAGGGGGTGCCCTATTCTGCCACAAGTCCCCCACCGGTGGGGCACATTCCACCGGCCGTGGTAGCACCTGAACGGAACCCTTTGGGCTTAACAATGGGTCATACGATAGCCCTACAGCACAGCAACACAGTTGAGCGTGTCCTGCGTCGACTGCAGTCTTGTATGACGACATACAGCTGGTGGGGTAAGCTATGTAACCCACCATCAATGAGGAAGGCAGTGTATGGTTCCCACTGCTGTGTGTGTGTAAAGCAGTGTGGCTGGAATACTTCATGTGCTGGTCGCCTGGCCACTGCCATGTGCTGTGCGTGCGTGTTTCATACACTCCTACCGAAGTTTGTGTGTCGATTGGTGTCTTGTAGGGCTACATACAGCAGGTTTCTTTTGTAGCTGAAGGAGAGTCTGCCTGCAAGAAAATAGAAGGCAGTGTTCGCTACCCACGGCAGGTGTTTGGCGCTATGCCGCGGGATTTCCCGACCTGTTCGCCGCCTCAGGTGCTGCCTGACGCTGTGCGCTGTGCATGCATCGACCACAAACTCCTGCAGGTGCTTGCGTGTTGATCAGAGCCTTGTAGAGGGAGATCCAGCTGCTGGGGTTCATAACGTTATCTACCCCACCAGTGAGGTTGCGGCGCGTGTTCCCCACCAACCGTGGCACCACCAAGACTGTGCTGTTTCGGCCTCACGATGGGTCCAATCATAGCCCTGCAACGCCGCAATACGTTCGCTGAAGTCCTGTGCTGATTGGAGTCTTGTGGAGCGAGCTACAGGTGGTGGGTTGTTTAAGCGTTGACCGCCCCACCCACCGGTGGGATGGTTAAGAAACTACCCGATCGGTGGGGTGTTTCGCCGTGCCGAATTTTGTTTGTCTTCACTTCAAATCAGCGCCAACCCGTGGTCACACAGAAGGATTGCTCTCCCTGTTGTCCCCCTCCTGCGGTACGTTGCCTTCGATTGTTAATGCGAGAAGCGTGCAGCACTCTCATTTCTTTGTGTACACACGAACTGTTAGCGCTTTCCACCTAGCCAGGCCAGGAACAGAAGCAGGAGAAAAACTCACTTTGTAAGCAACAAAAGATCGCTGTGCCGGAGCGACCGGCACAACTAGACTATTCCTCAGAAATAAATGTTCCGAGCGCCCGAAAAAGACAAAAGATGGACGAACCGAATCTTTCGTGGCATTCAATTTGCTTCGGCCGCACCTCACGGCCACCGCCCCCACACTCCGACAGCAGCATCTCTTCGTCTCTTCCTCCCTTCGTCATATCTTCCTCTCTCTTGCCCTCTTT